CTGGCGGGTGAGTGGTGCTGGGGGTGGATATAAGCCACCCTGCTCAGTGGCCACGGGGGTGGGAGGCATGTTGGGGTGCCCCTCACCACGATTTCGGGCCACCCTTCTCTCCCCCACAGGGCTTAGGCTCATCCCTGGGTGAAATGCAGGCAAAGCCTCTGTGGCTTTGTGGCCACAATGGGTCCCCAGGCCACGTCCCTGCATGAAAACGGGCCTTGCCCATGGGGGACGCTGGGTGCCAGGCTGTGACACCTCTCCCTGCTCACGGCTAGGAGTCGGGATGCCGGACCACGCACTGCAACCTGGAGGTGCTGCAGGAGAGCACCCTGGTCTTCCTGGCCACCAAACCCCACATCCTGCCAGGCGTCCTGCAGGAGATCCGGCCTGCTGTGGGACCGTCGCGCTGGTGGCTGGCGTCACCCTCCAGACACTGCAGCGGGTAAGCCTCCTCTTCCTCCTCCTCCTCCCATTTGCACCCAGGACACGCCGCTGTGGCTCTCCCCACCTGGATTCCATCCCCAAGTCCTTCCCCATGAACCATGCTTCTCCGCCAGCCCCAACGGGTGATGCCCACCGGTGTCTCAGGGCACCCTTGGGTGCTGCCCAGAGCTGGCACCCCTTTCCCATCCCCATCTCTCCCCAGCTTCTCCCCGCCGGGACCAAGGTGCTGCGGCTCATGCCCAACCTGCCGTGCGTGGTGCAGGCAGGGGCAATGGTCTTTGCCCGGGGCAGCGGTGCCGGTGACGGGGAAGCCGCCCTGCTGAAGAGCCTGCTGTCCTCCTGTGGGCTGTGCGAGGAGGTCCCCGAATCCTACATCAACATCCACACCGGCCTCAGCGGTAGCGGGGTGGCCTATGTAAGCATCCGCGCTTGGTGGGCACCGGCTCACTGGTGGGACACAGGATGCCGACAGAAATCTCATCCGTGTGGGGTTGGGGTGTGGGGTCCCTCCTTTTGCCACACTTACCCCTAGTGCTCCTCTCCACCAGGTCTACCTGTTTGCTGAAGCCTTGGCTGAGGGAGCGGTGAAGATGGGCATGCCGGGCGGCTTAGCCAGCCGGATCGCAGCTCAGACACTGCTGGTGAGTCGGTGCCGTCACTTGGGGACACCCAGCATCCCTCCTCCTCCTCCTCCAGCCCCCCAGCTCCCAGTCCAGCTTGGGCACCCCATCACCATCACTGCCCTAGACTCTGCAACACCCAACAAGGTGGCAGAGTGAGGGGGGATGTGCTCAGTATCCTCCTGCCTCGGTTTCCCCTCTTGAAACTGAAGATGAGGCTACCAGAAGATGGCAAAGGACCTGGTGGTGGGACAGATGCTTCGGTGCCTTGTCCCCTGCCATGGGAGGGGTGGGAGGATGCTGCCATCCAATCCCCAGGCAAGGAAGGGAGGGTTTCGAGGTCCCCTTCTCTCTGACCCACCCTGGTCTTCTGTAGGGTGCAGCGAAGATGATGCTGGAGACTGGGGAGCACCCGGCAAAGCTCCGAGGAGACGTTTGCACCCCCGGAGGCACTACCATCCACGCGCTGCACCAGCTGGAAAAGGGAGCGCTGAGGGCCACTGTCATGAACGCTGTGGAGGCGGCCACCAACCGGGCACGTGACATGGCCAAGGACTAGCAGTCTGGCTGCAGATGAACCCCTCAGTGCTGTCCCCTGTGGGGGAGGAGGGGACCAGACTAAACCCCTTCAGGGAGCAGGGGGACCTTGACACCCCCAGGAGACCCTGGCTGGGGGTGGGAGATGGTGTGGACCCATGTCCATGCCACGTGCTAGCTCTGCAGGGCTGGGACCGAATAAACGTGGGCAGCACGATGG